ATTCTTTGGGTCGTAATGGGTAAAAACGAAACAGAGAAGAAGCTGATCAACTGTCCCTTTTCTTGATTGTTTCTGTAGGTCATGTTCAAGATGTTCTTCTTATCATGGATGTTTACAAGCTGGCCCTCAGCTTTCAGCTGTCCCGTCTGGAGCAGCTGTGTGTGCAGTACATCGAGGCGTCTGTCGACCTGCAGAATGTCCTCAGTGTTTGTGAGAATGCAAACAAGCTGCAACTGGACCAGCTCAAGGTACACCTTAATAACTGTTCAAGACTCACTTGTAAGACATATTGTTTTTACTGCCCTCTAGTGGTTCAATGTCAGTGCAATTCATATTTTCTTATAACTTGGTCAGGTTAGAATAAAACATATTCTACAGGTGTTTTTAAATCAAAGATAAAGGGATGTTAAATACACTTTTATACAATATAATTAACTCTTGCAAATCATTTTTTCCTGCAGGAACATTGCCTTAACTTTGTGGTGAAGGAGTCGCACTTCAACCAGGTGATCATGACGAAGGAGTTTGAACATCTGTCCACACCGCTGATAGTAGAGATAGTGCGACGGAAACAGCAGCCTCCTCCTAGGCTGTACTCAGACCAGCCTGTGGACATCGGGACCTCTCTGGTCCAGGACATGAAGGCTTACCTGGAGGGAGGCGGCCTCGAGTTCTGCGACATTGTCCTGCTGTTGGACGGACATCCACGACCTGCTCACAAAGCCATACTGGCTGCCCGATCCAGGTAGAGACAACAAGATTTAATGATGAGCGACTAAACTAGCAGTAGCTCGAGAAACTTCTCAGACTGAGGACTTTTGTATATACATGTTATTTATTTATTTATTATTTAGGGAAACAAGCTTAACCAATGTTATATTAAACAGCTTTAGAAACCAAATTTTTATTTTTCTGTCTAGTATTTTTTTTAAACGTCTGTATTGAACTATTTATTTTGAGTGTGTAGCAAAAAGAGACAGATTAAAGAATGAATAACAGATTATCAAAAAAATGCAAACATTTATGAAAAGTGGTTTTCATCATTTTACTTTCAGACACCGTGTTCCATTTCATCTTAATTATACGTTTGACACTTCTCTAATATCTCCATTTCTACTCCTCAGTTACTTTGAGGCGATGTTTCGCTCGTTCATGCCAGAGGACGGTCAGGTTAATATCTCCATTGGTGAGATGGTTCCAAGTAAGCAGGCCTTTGAGTCCATGCTTCGTTATATCTACTATGGTGATGTTAACATGCCTCCAGAAGATTCTCTGTATCCTTTTTAAGCTAGACTGCATTATATTCATTTACAAGACAAATGTTTGTTTTTTTTCTTCCCCAGAGCAGAGAACGTTCAAGAAAATATACAAAAATTACGTCAGGCAGATGCTGAAAGGAGACTCAGTTCTTCTCAACCATGGCGTTCTAAATTAAGACCTGAATTACAGCGGGGGGGGATATGTGCACTTAATTTTTTATGGAAGAACTTAGCAAATTTCTACCATCAAGTCCTGTTAGGTTTAGGCAGAAGATAGAATAAGTTATATTTAGATATACACCTTGGGATAGACTTAACAAGATAAACATTTTATGAACGGTAACATTATATTTAGAGGTCCAATAAAGGTTTGACATGACGGATAAGGATAGGATGCCCTCGTCCAGCTCCTCGAAACAGCAGTAGGCCTTTTATAGAAGCTACTTATTTAAGATTCTATGCAAAAACCCAAATCTAATTTTGATTCTTCGTTTTTATTCATTTCATTCTCAACTGTCTTGTGCCTGTTGTTGAAAGCACACGTAGTCCTACTCTTCAGTTTTATGAAGATCAACAAATGTTTTTCACTTTCCTGAACTGTGACACACAGCTATCTGTTTGCTGCACCATATTACTACGGCTTTTCAAACAACAGGCTGCAGGCTTACTGTAAGCAGAATCTGGAGATGAACGTCACTGTGGAGAATGTCTTGCAGGTACTTGTGATTTTACTTTGGGGGTGGGGGTGACCTAATTCGACTATGCTGTCCTGTACTTGCTGTTTTTTTTCCTCTTAGTCGTCTAGTTACTTCTCATAAATGTTTTCTCTGCTTCAGATTCTGGAGGCAGCTGATAAGACTCAGGCTCTGGACATGAAGAAGCACTGCCTGCACATCATTGTGCACCAGTTCATCAAGGTGGGTGGCCTTGTATCTGGAGCCCTGGGGGTTTGCTGCCCACTCACTGCAGCTGAGCTAACCCTGTAGGCCACTCTTCTTTGTGGGACACTGACACCTTTTGGCCTCTGAGTAGATCATCCTCAATCTTCTAAGTAAAGAAGAGACTGTTTACAAGCCGGCCGGCTGTACAAGCAATTCATCATGTTGAGAAGAGTCAAAGTGGCGCTCTGATTATTGTCTGTTATTTAAAGGAACAGCTAAGAACTCAATTCTCACCCTTTGTCAGTGTTTCTGTTGAGCTTCTTTTGTTTACTTTCAGTTTTCCTGCATGAGCAACAAACTGCTTCTTATTCCTCATTTACTCTGTTTGACTCTCTGTTCTGTCTTCATTTATTGCTAATTTTTTTCCTCATTTTTTTTTGCTCTCCCCTCCCAAAGGTATCCAAGCTCCCCAACCTGAGGTCTCTCAGCCAGCTGCTGCTGTTGGACATCATTGAGTCTCTAGCTACACACATATCAGACAAACAGTGTGCTGAGATGGGCTCGGACATTTAGGATGACAACAAAGCCGACCTGTTTTTGTTTCTCCTCTCACTGAAGCCATACAACTTTACTCCTCTTCCTTCTCAGTCATTCCCTCCTTTACGGCACACAGTACTTTTCTGTGTTGTGTATCCCGGCCCTGGTAGATGCAGTATAAATGTTTCTTTCGTTTCGTGTCAGTGAGGGAAGAAAGAGATAAAGAAAAAAGTTTCTTTCTCAGTTTCAATTGGAAAAAAAAAACCTTAAATGTTTACATTTATTTATTTTGATTTCGCAGAAGAAAAAGCCTTCATTTGAATCCACTCAGTATAGTGGCTGCATCAATTTTTAAATTTGCAGTGGACTATGATAAGTCATACTCATGACACTACAGAAATGTGTTGCCCTCAGCTGTTGTATTAACTGTTCAGATATGTAATCACAGCAAACTAAGTGGTCATTTTCTAAATATTTATTCATCACTTGTATTATTCAAAGCTCTGTCGCATCAAATAAGCCTGGGTTCAACGTTAAGAGGAGTCAAAATCATGATTTGAATATAAATTGAATGTATGTCTGTCTTAAAGCTTTTTCTTTTACTGTTGTTATAATCGACGCACATCTATCTTTGTTGTACTAATCACCATTACTAACACACAAGCTTCATGTACTATGTATTTAGTGACTGTATGCTGTTATTAAATGTATACCCACATGGGTTTCATGTATTTAAGGCCTTAATAAATCTTCTCATACAAAATCTGTCTTGTATTGAGTCTGTGCCTTCCTGCATTCACAGAGGCTGAATTCACCTGAAACATTTGTTTAATGACTATAGGCTCCCAATGTACTCATTTAACCATCTTATTATACAGCCGTCCTAAAGTAGTGCAATGGGCCGGAAGTTAGAGACTGTTCAGGTATTTCTTTTTACTTTTAATTGCTCTGCAACATGTGAGACATGGTTATCTACCCCTCACCTACCTTTCTTTGAAACTACATAATCCAACAAAGAGCAGATACTCAGCAGGTTGATCTGTTCTGACTCAAGTGTAGTTTGAAATGATGTCATCTTTTCTACTTGTCTGCTGCTTTGTGATTTTTCTGTTCGCTTGTATTCAAACTGAAAGTCTCAAACTAATAAGCAACTTATTTCTGAACTGAAAACTGGCACACACGTCATTATCTTACACAGACCCCTGATAATAAATATGTTTTTTTTTAACCTTTGCACTATAAGAAAAAATAGCTGAAGGTTAATCCTTGACCTTTCATTAAATTAACCAGGTCCTTTGGGTGGTTTCAGTTTCCACAGATCTGCAGGTGATAAGCTCCTTGGTTTGAGATGGTGAATTCTTCTGAGCTTGTGTTAGGTTCGCTCCTGCATAGATGTTAATTGATTCAAACAAGGCTGATTGAAAGTGAAGGCTAATTATGAAATGTAGATTGCAGCTACTTATAACATCTCTTTATACTCTACCCTAAAAATCAATGACTTAACAGTTTAAAAAAAAGTTTTAGTTAGGAAATCATTTTTTTAAAAAATATTTAAACTACCATTTTATTTTGAGGATAAAAAACACTTGGTTTGTCATCATTGGAGGAAATAGTTGACCCAAATGCTGAGGCACTAGTTGAAATATCCTGTTAGCCTCCACTTGTACAGAAAGATAGAGAGCCTCAGTGGAATACACAAAGTGTTGGACTATTTGCTGTAAGAACCGTTGCATCAACCACAAAGTGCTATTCATGGTCCAGATACTTGAGACACTTGGCTGGTCAAAGGCATCTCTCTTTCCATTTCTTCAAAGTGAAAATGTCTTGACTAAAAAAAATGCCAGTGTCTCATCGATAAAATCGTTTAAACTATGATTCTCAAATGAATTAAATCTAAAAGAACGCATTAAAAGAGCCATGAAATAGGTTATTAAAGTTACACCAAGGGTATCTTTTGGTTCCTCTTCTTGTATTCTTGTGAACCACCTATGTCCCTGTTACTCACGTTTCATTGATTTAAGTGCACTTGTGCACACATAGTCCAGAATCCCTCTGGACGTATCTGATTTCATCTAAAAACAGAGGTCATTGTTCACTGCCACGATATTGAGCGCTGAAACTAAACAGTATGTCTGTTGTCATGCCTCAGCTTCACATTATCTCTCCACTTATCAGGTGGGTTTTATTAAGGAGGCTGACTTTGTGGGCAGTCCGGGTCGGTGCTGCTACCTCAACAGGTGGGTTGGGCTACAGAGTCTTTCTGAATCTCCAAACCTGTGACACAGACCTGCAGATGTGAGCAGCGGTCACAGCAAGGAGGAAGATGGTTTTTCTGACAACTAAAATGATGCAAAGGTCGGCACTTTTTGTGACGTTTGGAGGTTTGGTCACCTGTCTGATCACCACTTTTCTTCCTCTGTGGAAGACGATGAACTCTGACCTGAATGAGGTGGAGAACTGGTTCTCAGGACTTGGCACATGTGTCTCTATACGGAGGAGGTGGGGATTCAATGTAAGGCCTATGACACCCTCATGGGACTGCCATTGGACCTGCAGATCTCCAGGGTGCTCATGTTGGTGTCTGTAGGAACTGGAGGCTTGGCTCTGCTGGCTGCTTTTCCAGGACTGGAGGGGGTGGACATATGTGTCGGGCAGCCTGGCCTGAAGAGACAGCTCCTTATTCTGGGTGGGGTGCTGTCCTGGGTGTCAGGGCTCACCACTTTGGCTCCTGTCTCTATTGTGGCCTACACAACGGTGGTCGAGTTCTGGGACCAGGGTTTCCCTGATGTGATGCCTCGCTGGGAGTATGGAGAGGCCATGTTTTCAGGGTGGTTTGGAGGTTTGGCTCTGGTCACCGGAGGGACTCTGTTTTTTATATCGGTGTGCATGGAGGACTTCGATCAGAGACCACCGAGTGTGCCAAACAGCCCTCAGGTGAAGCACAGGAGCAAGCACTACCTGAAGACCGAGGTGTTATAGACCTCTTATTGTCTAATGTGGAGGCCCGTCAGCTTGTGAGTGAATAATGACCTGTGAAGTATTTGAATGATAAAGTCAAGAATAACATTTCTTACTTTAGTAACATTAAAGCAAGGTTTTTACTTTTTGCCTGTATTTCTTAGTCAAATTGTCACTGACGTATGAAATACCTTTCTGTGATGTCTTTTCTGTTTAATGGAGTCACTTCTGGTTTTTAAGTTTTACAAATTATGACAGGCATTTAAAATAATAATAAGCTGCTGAGTTTTTACATCAGTAACATTCTGATTAAAGTAGAGTCTGTATACATTGGTTAGTATGCCTCTATTTACTAGACATGAAAAATAAAAGCTTTCCTAGAGTAAGAATGGGAAAAGAAAGACATTCATTAAAAATGATTATAATAAATTACTCTGATTTGTTGTTAAACTTGAGAAGCTTTGGTTTGTATATTTACTGCATTGAAATATGGACAAGTTATATCACTCATTAAAGTTTCTATTGTTCTCTAATGGGTTGAATTATAATTTTTTTTTATAGGAATGTGTAACTTTTATATATATAATGTTCATTTTAAAGTTAGTTTGAGTATAGTTTGGATATAAATGAAGAGTACCACAGCATCTTCCAAGCAAAGTTCTGTAGAGATCTTAAGAAGTATTCTAATGAACTACAACACTTGAGACACGTGTATGGGTCAGTATTACTTAGGGGACTAGTATTAAATTGTCCAACAGTGCTGGTGTATACCAGCCCTGAGCCCCGAGAGGGGATGTCTTCAATGCGAGTTGCATTCCAGTGCTGCAGCTTTTCCGTGTTAAATTTCTTTTCTGGGAGGGACTTGGCACCTGCTGCTCCCCTTAGACTGTCTGGAATTGGTATACTGCTGTACATTGTGATGAGTAGAGCTAATTTTGTATGTCTCAACAAATCAAGGATTGATACAAAATAAAATACTGGGATCAGTGTACATCAAATCAAGCTGTAAGGAACAAGTGTAACATGCTCATATGCTTAACTGACACTGTTCAAGATCAAAACTTCTACCTTTGTCGCAGCTTACATTCATATTTTAGTAGGCTATGATTTTATTTTAGGATTCATTGGCTCCTTTCGCGTCTTCTTAATCTGGGTTTTTGGACGCTGCAGCTCTGTCTGGCCCCTGCAGAAGAGAGCCCCCTTGTAATTAAATTAAACTGAGTGATGTAAAGGCCCTCCCCTCTCGCTGGGAGAGCCTGATCAGTCATCTTGCCGTACATGTGCACACCGCCCTCCCCCGGCTCGGGGCTCAAACATGCTTTTAAATGTGCTCGAACACAAGCAGAGAGCAACACAAACATGGTGACGCTTGAGCACATGCCAGCACAGCGTGGAAAGTGTGGCAGTACAGCAGTGAATTCTTCTTTTCTGATAGGCTATATTTCCATTTTGTCACATTCTGTACTGGTTTCCAATGCAGCATTCTGTGTCAGCGCTGTCATTCACTTTTTTAGGATTAACATGAGATTGAGATTATCAGGCGAATGACCTTGTTACAGCAGTTATTTACAAGGGAGGCACAGTTTTCTCCCATGGGGGCAGCATAAAGAATGGAAATATGTTTGGAGCTCATTTCCTTAAGGCTCAGTATCCCTTTTTAATCCTGCCCCACCCTGACTGAAACTAGGACTTACTGCACCAACTGCACTTTCCTCCTTCTACCTCTGCTACAACCTGAAATAAGTTTAAAACACACATACTGTAAGAGCATTTTCAGTGTTTCAAACATGTTTATGTCTCATACTGTCTCCTGCTGGTCAGTATGAGTACGATATATTGTATTAGTACAAGAAATACCACACTGATAAGTTTGAACAAAAGCTGATCCTCCTGCTGCAGCACAGGCATGCAGCACAATGCATGCACAGCGAGCAGGCAGTGTGATAAGTGGGCAGTCGGGGCAGGCAGTATAGCGGGGAGGGCAGGCTTAACAAGCAAGTCAGGTCTTTAAACATCTGAAGGCAAGGCTGAAAGAGTCTGAGCAGAAGAGGAGAGTGTGTGAGTGTGTGGTTTGAGAAAGAGAGAGAAGAGAGGTGGATGGGAGGACGAGTGCAGAGAACGGCGAGATTCATGCTGTGTTAGCATCCCCTCAGCAACTCCATCAATACTGCATACAGCTGAGAAACTGGCCAAGGTCCTCCGTGCTGCGCTTGCAGACTCGGCCGGGGAGAGAGAGCAACTCCCACGACCGGTTGGCTCAGTCTGCTGCTGCTGCTGGGCAAGGGAAGGGGGGCTCTGTGAGGGGCACACACACACACACTTTCTCAAACACATTCAATAGAGACTCTGCTGCATCAAGGGGCAGAAGAGCAGAGCTAAGGAGGGTTCAGAGGGACACACAGACTGGGAATACTCCAGTTGACAGGATTTGTTTGGAGACTCGTGTGCTAATAATGCTGCCGAGCTCCGCAGGGGAAGCTGAGCACCGGGGAGTTTGACAGGATCTCAGTGCACCTGCTCCATGCACACTGGTAAGATGGTTCATTTTTTTCTACAAGCAGGGTAATGTAGCTCTGTTTTATTGGCTCTCGGTGTGATGGGTTTATGTGCTGCTGTGTTTCGACTTACTTTGTCATGTGGATTTATCTGCATTGGTTTCTGTAAGGGCACACAGAGTTCTTGTATGGAAGTTGCTGTGTGGGTCCCTGGAGAACCATGAACTGTGCTGCAGTCTATAGAACTGAAACCACAACAGAGCCACAGTACTTTTTTTAATACTGTATTAAAAAGACCAGACTAATCTACATACTTTACACAAAACTGTGAAGAGAACCACACTTTATCCATTTAACTTTAACCATTTAATCCAACTGTTTTTTGTGTGCCTGCTTAGAAAATGCTCCATAACAGAATTGTTATACAGCAGCACAAACAGTTCTAGTTTTCCATGACATCATGGAGAGGTTATAGCTCCAAGCATCACCAAAATGACCCGATGGAAGTCTGTAGCTTGAGTTCACTTTAAAAAAAAAAAAGGATATAGAATATTTTTTTTTAACTTGAAAGTCTTTAATTGTTGTAATCAACAATGCTGAATAAAAATAATAAAAATCAGCATCTTTGTTTTCTAGAGCCATGTGGCCTCTATGTTTAATAACTCTAAAGATTAAAGCTTTTGTCTTTTAAATGCATTAAAAGCTTAAATTTTGGGGGCGCCGTTGGCTTAGAGGATAGTTGTGCCCCCCATGAACAGAGGTTGTTGCCCTAGAAGCGGGCAGCCCGGGTTCAAATCCGACCTGTGGCTACCTTTCCCCGCATGTCATTCCCCACAAACTCTCTCCCTGATTTCTGACTCTATCAACTGTCCTGTCTCTAAAATTAAGGCATAAGTAACCCAAAATAAGCTTTAAAAAAAGTTTAATTGAAAAACCATTTTATCAGCTAAAAGCAAAAACATGAGTCAGACGTTGTACCTTTAGTTTCATCCTTCTTTGTTCTCTTTTCATAAACACAATCTGACACTAAAGAAGTGTTTCGGACCTTATGGAACCTTTTTTTAGGATCCAGATCTTATCTCGAGGGGGGTTAACAATGACTGTCATTATTTAAGAAGCAAACGATATCAACATTCATGCAAACCTTTTTCAGAAATGATGTGAGTGAGCCTGCTCACATTGTTTGATTGTGTCACCTCACAGAGCTTCTTAATGGGGATTGTGGTAAACTGTAATCCACTCTTTATTCTTTTATACTTAAGACACGTAGGTAAGGGAGTAAATAGAAGTTAATCAAAAGCTTCTTGGCAATTTGGGAATTCCTTCAAACATGGCTTGAAACACTTCTCTATGTCTCCTATTTTTAAAAAGAAAAGCAGAAAAGGTTCAAAAAGATCAAGGATTAAGACCCTGAACAATTTCACCCAATTGACCTCTGAAGCTGAAGGTAAACACAATATAAAACCACTAATAGCCCGGTGAGAGAGGCTTTTTGCTCAACAGTTGGTTTACGCAATGAGGGGATGATTCCTCAGCTTATCTGGTTGTTTCACAAACCAGGAGAACTTGAGTGAAGGAGTGAAGGGTGAGTGCCGGTTAGATTGTTTTGAGCTCTTATCCATTATCAGTTGAGGATCAGAGGGCCCTAATCTTTAACTACAGGCCAACATACCTGCCAAACAAGTGATTGAATATAACAGAGACCACTAGTTTGGACTGTAGGAGGTGGATGAGCCTTTAGACTCTCAGCAGCTCTTCTTTATTCAGGTGCTGCTAAGACTCTAGTGCCATGGAGAGCTGGAAAGTGGCCTGTTATTACCAGAGGGCTGATAAATGCCCATTGTTTTTTCTATATGTGGAGTTCACAGCATCGCTCTCCCTGCTGATGATATTTATTAGTGAGCATTGGGTTTGTAATTAACAGCGAGAAAGAGTTTCTCAGACTGATTTCCCTTTGTGTTGAGTGCCATTTTTAGTCTATTCTTCATCAATAAATGACTGTTTGCTGTTGGAGAATATGTTTTTAGTCCCAGTTTTAAAGTATGTTTGTGAATGTCCGAGCACAGAACATTCCTGTTTTTTTTTTTTTTCACTAACAGGCAGTTTACAGATTGGCCTCCTCACCCCCTACCAGGAGCTGCATTTGACTAATTCTCCCCTCCAACATTCCATTAACAGGTATTACATTTGTAGGCTAGTGAGTGAAACTGACAGCTTGTTTGCGGCAGGATTATTAGCACTGCTTGGGGACAGGCCCAACAGTGAGTGAGCGGGATCTGCGTCATATGTTGTGAGGACCAAATCTGCTTAACCTACTTTAGTTTTGCACAAAATATCTTGGGCTGGCTAGAACTCCCGGATGGCAGCTCGTTGCGATCCAATATGTTGTTCATCAAAATTTCAGAGATGACAAATTATTAAAAGGGCAACATGCCTCTGTTTATGAAGTGATTTGACATGTTGTTGTCTGTATTAAGTCCTACAAACAACATCAAAGGCTCTGCTGGCACTTGAAAATGATTTGGCACAGATGCATAAAGCAGATTCAAAGGACAAATATGGGTTTTCCACCTGTAGGAGAGATTCAGTTTGGAACATCTGGTGTGATACTAGACCAAAACATTTGTTTTTGACTTTCATTTATTTATCAATTGTATAGCTGCTTCCACTGAAATTATTTTCAGTGGAAAATCTATAGGACATCTATAGAAAAAAGCAATACTCAGCTACAAGTGACCTGAGGATTCAAAATCCTACTTAATTTAAAGTACAGAGGGATCATTAGCTAAATGGTCAGTCTCTACAGATTATGGTTCATATGACTGATAACTTTACATCAACACTTCACTGTCCAGGTTGGCCCAGCAACTTTTTCTTCTGTACACAGTCAGGTAGTTTAGTGCAGTGGTTCCCAGTGTATGAGTCTGGCCCCCTCAAAAGATCCTAACTTAAGTTTTAGGGGTCCTAGGATGATGATTGAGAGAATAGAGCCCCAAAACATGAATGCTGCCAAGTCTGTGTTGTTGTTGTTTTTTTGCACTATTCTGACTTTCAATGAAATGTTGAATCATTTGTCACTAATCGTGACACAAAAGTCTCAGCTACTGTTCAAATATTATTTGGGCTATATATTTTCTTTCATTGAAAAGAAGTGTAAAGGACCAATACGTTTCAAGTAAGGAACAAGTATCTCAAACATATACTAAAGTTAAGGAACAAATATGACTAACTGTATATATAAGGTTTAAAAGCTGCAAAGAAAATCCCTTCTAGTTTACAAACTGAATCTCAGCTGCAGAGTTGTGGTCAGAGGAGATCTTTCCATTTCTCATTTGTCCTCAGGAACTTTTTCTCAGCAGTGCTTCATTCAACACTGCACCTTTTTTTTCTAAAGTTCAAGCACATTAGGATGTGCTCAGAATACCAAACAGGCCTTTTACTCGCATCTCCAAAGGATAATTTGGTCCTTGATGGATGTTAACTGATACACCTGCCATCCCCTCATCTGGTCAGATTCATTGCGGTCACTTCTCTGTGAGGAACTTACTAACAGTATGTGGGGCTGAAATACCAGAGCGGGCAGAAATGTGAGGACAACGTGGCAACAATAAAACAAGCAGGATTTTGAAACTGGAGGGGCCCCTGTTTCCGTTTAAAGTGCAGTGTGACGTGAAAGTTAATGTGTCTCAGTGCTGTTAATATTTAACACCTTCCCATGCAATATGCATGAACAAAGGTAATTATGTGCGTGGAAATGTTCCTAATTAACACAACAGCTTCATTTTTACAACAACTCACATGTTTTATAGACACAAACACAAACACACACACACACACACACACACACATACACAGAAACTAAATAGGCTTGATTTCTCTGGCAGTTATATCCTGACTCTTTTATTTACTTCAGAGCAACATCAGACCAGTTTTTATGGAACAAACAGTCAATGACAGTGATTGATTAGTAGGAGCATTATAAAAGTACGGACACAAATGAGGGCCAAATGTTTTGTCACTTTGATAGAGAAATTTGTAAGTGAAAAGTTTAACTTTAACAAATATCTCCTGAACAACAACAAACAAGCCGTGGTATGAAAGAAAAACTTTCTTATTTACATACAACCACAATCACACTCATTTACACCACTGACACACACATTTGTCTGGTGTGCTTGTTTCTGTGTTTTGCTGATGTCATTCTCTCTGTTTCGTTCAGTTTATGTGGAAGAGCTGATGTGTGCGATGGCCAGGCTGGACCAGCAGGTTCTCATACGCACAGTTCTGTGTTATCGTTACCTCCCGACCAAACAGCCCAGCCCGAGGATCTGACCGCTCCTCTCCTCCCTCTCCCCCCTTCCTCCCTCGACCTGGGTGTGTACTGATCCCAGGCCCACCATGGGAGGATGCTTTTCTAAAACCAAACCAGGTAACCAACTCCTATCTCATTCTGGTGGGGCTCGGTTTCAAGGAAAACATTATACCCAAATTAACACAACATCTTATATTCTTATACATTTACTGTCATACAATTATCTCTGCTCTTAAACTGGCTCTGCCTTCCCTGTCCTCTTTCAAACATTTCTCTTCCCTCATGAAAATAGGGAATAGGATGGGGGAGGTAAATGCAGCCTAAATCGGCAGTGTTGAGCTAAGGCCCAAACAGGCTTCTGCAATCCCTGTCCTCTTTCCAATATCTCTCTGCAGACTCTTCTTTATGTTGGTATTATGGCTGATTAGAGGTTGCTGCTTCATTTTATTTCAAATTGTACTAAATTGTACAAAATATCGTTATTTAATCCAGCAGGAGTGTGGTTAAAATAATTTATTTACATAAAATACAGTGAAAATGAATGTTGACTCACTTTAGTTAATCTTGCTCTACTCTACTGGTTTCCATTAATAATTAAAAGTCAACAAATGAAAATATCTATTCAGTGGTTTAACATTGGAACTAAAACGTTTCATAACGTGGAAGTCTATGTAGTGACAGTAAACATGAGGTATAGGGAGTATATTTTGTGTGTAGGTAGTATAAAAGAAAAGAATGATTCCTATTGAAATACTATAAATAATTCACTGTTTCTATGGGGAAATTGTTGTTTTTGGAGTAGAAAATAAACACTTTTTCCCAACATATATTTTCAGGACATCTTGTTCAGCTTGAATCCTTTCAAAGCTACAGCCTCCAAATCCTGTTATACATCACGACCAGCCTGCTCTGTGTGCAGGTTTTGTGTTATGTGTGGGAGGAATTTCAATGATTACTGTGGCATCTTTGGTCAAGAGGATTACTTACAGAGCACAAATGTAAAAATATGACACTATGCGTCTGTATCCATTTTCAGTGCTCCATTGCAAGTTCAGAAAGTGACAATGACAGACTGAACACAACATGCCTTTCAGGTGCATTTACAAACAAAAGCTTACAGTCATCGATTCAATGCATCATGTGCAGGTGAAATAAGGAAGAAGAGTTGGTTGTTTACTGTCGGGCTAAAAATTATATTTAGTGTGTGAGTCACAGTCTTGACCTCTGTCTATTCCTGAACTATGTAAAACAACGCTGATCAAACTAAAAACTAAATACTGAAAGCTCATGAATTTAAACGATTATCTTCTAGGTTTCAGTGGCAATGCCCCTGTAAAAAAAAAAAGAAAAATTAATTGTACATGTTCCACCAGTCTCTGCTATTGGTTGCAAGAAAACAGTCATTAGTTAAACATATCAAGTAATGTTTGACAATTAGGGAAAATGAAGCTTCTTAATAAGTGTAAAACTTCAGATCATTGGCTGTATAGAAAAACTGGAAGTAACCGACATTAAGTCTTTGAAGTAAGGTTTTGAAGCCTTAGGTCCTGCATAATGACTGACACCATCTTGTTTTTATGTAGGCAGAAGTCAGATGTCGACCATAGAGATACCAGAGGGTGGATTAAGAGTGGAGTGCGCTGTGAGGAAATGCTTAGTTATCAAAGATCCGCCCATTTTCGGCCTATGCTAAAGGCTATTTGACTAGCTGGCTAATAAGCTAGCCAGTGACAGTTTCCAAGGGGATTGGGTCTCTTTTTGTGGTGGTACCTGGTTGGACTTCTTTATGTATTACACTACAAAGCCAAGAGCGCTTGTGGATCGTAGCACTCACTTCACCACATTTCTGTTAAGAGTAGCCAGGATACTCTGAAGAACCTGTTATATCACCGCTAACACGTCTCAGCAACGAAATGACCCAAAAAAAGCCTTCTCTCACTCAGTGAGTATAATATATATATAAACCCCAAACAATCTGACAAACCAGGTATAGTGAATGCAGACAGCAAAACATGCTGGTTAGTGTTACAATATTAACAATTGATTCCAAAACCAAGAGAGCTGGAGCACATATTTCTTTATGTGTATTTGGTTACAATAAACTGATCAGACATCTATATTATTTGTCATATATTTGCATTTAATAATCTTAAAAGGCAGACACTTGTCGGTCACTCAAAACAGAAAAAGTGAGCAAACACACGCACTTCACTTACTCAGGTGCTGAGTTGTAAGAACCCACTGGATATGATGCACAAAAACTAGCAACACTGTGGCTCCTAAAGATATACACCTTTGCTGTATGCATTACCCAATGTTTGAAAAACATTGTGGTTTTTTATTGCAAGTCACTCAAAACAACCACACACCTAACTGCTGAAATATTTTAAGATATTTAGGATATTAACTAGAGACCAAGAGTATTTTTTTTGTAACAAGCTATAGACATGTTCAATTTTGCTGTGAAGTTGGGCATCGTATAATGAGGCCTAATAAGGAATTGCTCATCTTTAGAGCCATCCCCAAGTGGCCAGAAAAGGAACTGTTGTTTTCAAGCACTTGGGCATTTGCTTCATTTTTGGCCCTGCAGGTTGCATTGGATGAAAAGAAACAGCAAAAATATCAAAGTGGCCATCAGCAAGATGACAAAGTCTACTGGTGTTTGCATTTTTTGGGGGGAATTTAAGTAATGGCAATACCAAGCAATGTGTTCATTCATCCCCCTCTACATCAAAGTACTCTGGAGATGAAATCATGTTCTGGCTCAAGTTTTCATCTAAATAATAGATTGCTCAATGGTTATCAAAATAATCCTAAATTTAAAAAATGTTTTACGCCCAATGTGAATATAGCAGTCTTTCCCCTACCATTATATTAGGGGGGCAGCCCGCTCCCCCAATGGCACCCCCGCCCCCTTGAAGGTCAAGTTAATAGTTAGTTTTTTTTTTTTTTTTTTTTTGGCTTTTTGTGCCTTTATTGTAGAGATAGGATAGTGGATAGAGTCGGAAATCAGGGAAATAAGTCATTTAAGGATAACTTTCCGATAGAACAGGACAGCTGTCATTAAAAGTAACGCATGAACACCAAGATTCCTTCAAGTGCTTGTGTCGGCATCGGTCTGCCCGCACCCCCCATCCCCCCAAAGCAGTAAACCTAGGGGAAACACTGTATAGTAAAGTTAGATGTTATATATGTTAAACAAGTTGTACAAAGAGAAACCCGAAAGGAACTAAAATAAGGAGAGCTTGTTGAAATAAAACCCTGCCCACTTTATTGCATCAAAATGTGAAAATACAGGACGGTTAGAAATACTGTAAAATAACACAGACGGATCTGAACACCCTGCGCTCACTTACAACTCAACAAATGTTATGGTGAGATTACGTCCAGGATGGCCTAGCGGTTAGGTCGCGTGCCTCATGTACAGAGGATATAGCCCTCGTTGCAGCAGCCGTGAGTTCAGATCTGACCTCGGACCTTTGCCCTATGTCATCCCTCACTCTCTTCTCCCAACATTTTTTGTCCCTCTTTAGCTGTCCTATCCAATAAAGGAATGGACAAAAACTAACTTGAAAAAAATGTAATGGTAAGATTAAAACAATCTAAAGCTCAAATAAAAGCCTTTTAGGAACAGCAGATAACTTTAAGTATGGATCAAATGATTTAGTGGAAGCATCTCTTCAGCTGTGCAAAGCTTTCTCTTACATTTCTACTGCAATTGCACTCACTATTATGATTTTCCATTGATTTTAATTAAGGCTTGCTCAGCAGGAGAAAATTCCAGCCAGATTACTGTGTAAGAACCGGATGATCAGCACATTTTTCCAGCCGAACAGATAAAGCCTGCTGCAGTGAAATAAAGGAGTTACACAACCATTTCTTAATGTTCAGAAATATATACCAAACAATGACGCATCACATTAGAAACTAAATGTCTCACAAAATACAGAAAGAAACACTCCACTCTGTTCTGTTTTCAAGAGGAAAGCAGCAACAACTGCTGCAACAGAAAACAGATTTGAGTTACACTGAAATGTTCTTCTTGGCATGGAGAGGAAAGGGTGAGTAATTTCTGAAAAGTAATAACATGTTGAGCAGTGTGTGGATATTTCATTCCACATATCTCTGGTAAAACTGGTATGAGTATCACAAGTTGTACGGCCTGCTTGGCTGTACTCTGCATGGGAACGTTTGGGGATTGATTTGCATGATTTCCTGCTGTTTAGAAAACTATGTATTCACATGAAATGCTGAACACCTGAATGATACCTGGGATTATGCAACACGCTAGACTTAACAAAAGGGAAAGAAAAGACCCAACACATTTTCCCACCTGCTACCTGCTTTCAGTTGTAAGATGTCGGACTTCATTTCAGACTTTTCTAAGGAAAACGTGTCTGTGTTGTGCAGTTGAAGTTAAAGTGGAACTCTCACTCCTGGAAAAAGAAAAAGAGGTGGATGGACTCTCACCTAATGGCAAAGCGAGTCCCTTCGCTGACTGCAGACCTAACGGGGCCCTGGGACACGGCTCTGATGAGGACTCCACCGCGCTCCCCCTCTACCACAAACCACGAGACTATGTGGAGGTCTCCGTCTGTCACGTTAAAGATCTGGAAAACGGACAGTAAGACAACTTTAACGACTCTGAAAACGAGTGAAAATAAATAAACATACATGGAAATAAGCCGAACATTTGAGATGGTAAAAAACTAAATACTTTTTTAATCGAACAGCCTAAACTGAGAGTAGCTCAAGTTCATGAGCCAACAGCATATAGGCCTATTAAGCGCTTGCTAGCTTTAGCAAACATAGAACAATTGATTTCTACGTAAACGTATGATACTGTAGCAGAAAATACCCTGACGGTATATGTGATATCTTCAGATATCATTAATAAGATGAAGACTTTTCATTTACAGTTTCCTGACTTAATGCAGGTAACAACTTCTTCACGTTAAAACATAGCTCACCTGTGAGTTAACAGCCTCGTCTCCATTAGCATTTCAACTTCTGCAGACAAATATACACTGGAGCCCCCCTGTTGGCACTGTGTTGTAATTACATCCAACAGTCACTTAAACAGTAGGCCTATTGGATTAAGTAAGACTTTTATATTGCTTGACTTTTGATTTGAGAAAGGAAGAAACCATCAAAGGTAAGCCTTGCTGTAATGTTTAATGTTAGGAGGGACCCCATGTACAGAGGCTAAAGTCCTCGATAGTGGATGGCCAGGGTTCGAATCCGACCTGTGGCTTCTTTACCACGCCATTCCCCACTCTCTCTCTCTCTCTCTCTCTCTCTCTCTCTGATTTCTGACTCTGTCCACTGCCACATCTCTAATAAACCCCCCTAAATATTTATTTAAAAAAGGAGAGCTCTATTCATCATATTTACTCCTCCATTTGCATGTGACGTCAGTCACGCTCAAGGTTGGAAGTGAAATACTGTTTCCATAGTAACAGGTTGCACAGTCTGTGGTTGCAAGTCATAAGCCTTTAAAGTTGGGAAACTAACAAATCATTATAATTTCACTGCTTCCAAAATGGTCAAAAAATAAAGCAGATGGATGGAGAAAATGATTGGGGGACACGTATTCATAGGAACAATGTACCGTAGTTGATAATCCATTAGCTAGCATTTGACAACAGCTACTATTAGCATTCAAACACTCTCTAGCTAACTAATATTAGTGTAGGTCCAGTGCGTGTTCCTTAGTGGTTTTTAAGAATGTGTCAAAGCTTGTTGATAATATTTTGGCTCTATCAAGCTAGTAAGTACATAGAATTGGCAAGGAAGTGTTCAAATGGCAACTTAAGCTGTTGTCTAAATGTAGGATAGCTAACTTTTTTAGCCATGATTTGATGAATCATGTGGATGGCCCTCTGGATATATGTTATTGTTATAGTGTTTTTCTTTAAACTGTTCCTTGAGTTTATGTGGCTCATTGTTGCTATCAGCATGTAGCTTCGACAGATAGATTCAGCTGCTACAATAGGCTACAGAAGATAACTTAAGCGGCTGTGTTTGTAGGCCTTTTGTACTTTTGTTTTCAATTTATATGTTTTTCTTCCAGTTGTTTTTTTTTTCACGTCAGTCAGTATTGTCTAATATGATTTGATAAAGAAATAGCAAGGAATGCCGACAAAGGTCTTTATTGTTTTTTTGTTGGACAGGATGCGTGAGGTTGACTTGGGAAGTGGCAAAGCTTTGTTGATCAAAGAACATGGAGAGTTTGCAGCCATGGGCCACAAGTGTCCACACTACGGAGCACCTCTTGTCAAAGGTCAGTAATGTATGTTTTCAATTACTATTTTAACTTTGTAATTACATGTATATATAAAATCATGAACTTTTCATTTTCCGTCCATCCAGGTGTGTTGTCAAAAGGCCACGTGCGCTGTCCCTGGCATGGTGCATGCTTTAACATTGCAACAGGAGACATAGAGGACTTCCCTGGACTGGACAGCCTGCCTACCTTCCAGGTGACCTTCCCTGCTGGTGCTGTCTCTTAACACATTCCCTGCCTTATCATGTCTCTAAGCACCATCAAAAAGTGTACACATCGCTCATGTCTGTTTGCTCCAGGTCAGAGTTGAAAAGGACAAGGTGATCATTCGCGCAAACAAGCAGGTAAAAAGAACATAATTCGGGGAATTTATGCAGGAGAATAAACAGAGCATCGGATTGATCTGAGATTTTATTTAATAAGCAAATGTTTACAGGCTCTTCAGTTGCAGAAAAGGTCAAAGCCCATGGCCAGATGCTCAGCAGTCATTAACTCCAACACAGGTTTCAGCCATGTTCTCATCATTGGCTCAGGTCAGTAAGTGTCATGTCACTGTTTCTTTATTTTACATGCCTTCAATTACAAGGATACAGTTGTTTTTGACTCTTTAGCAGTATATTTCTTTACTTTCACTATTATTATTCCTCTGTTATGGTGACTGTTCCTGCAGGTCCAGCAGGTCTGGTGTGTGCAGAGACACTGAGGCAAGAGGGCTTCACAGATCGCATCGTCATGTGCACGATGGACAGACATCCTCCATATGACAGGCCTAAACTGAGTAAGGTTTGTACACAGACCCAGACCACATAAATCTAAGAAAGAACCGTCTTTGCCAAAAAAAGTTACATAAACAGACTGCAGAGGTGCTGCTTCGGTCAGTGCTGCTAGAACAGGAGCTCTTTTGGAAACAGCTGCACCTCTCTGCAACAAAGATTTGAAGAAAGAGAAAGTAAACAATCATTACTGAGTGTAAGATTTGACATTGACCACAAAAAAGTTTTTTTTTTTATAGGGGATGGTTTGGAAAGATTGCTTCAACATCTAGAGATTTTAGGGTTGTTGTTTTTTTTTTTATATTCTGTTTTTATTGATAGATTGAGCTCTAACTTTCTTATGCTCAGTCCTTAGAGAGCACAGCAGAGCAACTGAGACTGCGCTCCATGAGCTTCTTACAGGACCATGACATAGAGCTGCTCACAGAGAAAGAGGTGAGATGTCCTGCCCTCAGATTCTGATGTGATTACATAACAGATAATGATAGATCTACTTATGAATGGGATATTTTTGAAAATCCAGATTGTAACACTGATTGATGTTTGCTTCAGGCAGTCGCAATAGATGTGAAAACTCGATCCGTGACCTTTGAAGATGGCTTGAGAATGGAGTACAGGAAACTTTTTATTGCTACAGGAAGCAAGTAAGGGCAACCTTTAGTGCTCATGGAAATCAAACACTTCACATTCTAAATCATTTTATTGATTTGTTTTTTATTGCTTCAATGTCCTCCCTTAAAAGACCAAAAGCAATAACCTACAAAGGCAAGGACGTCAGGAATGTGTTCCACCTCAGGACGCCCGAGGATGCAAACAGCATAGCGCAGCTGGCCAACAACAAGAACGCTGTGATTATTGGAACATCCTTTGTTGGTATGAGAAATGTGTGACACCATTTTCACATTTGTGAGTGACAAACATGTGAAAAAAAATGACATAATATTTTAAGAATTGGAGCTGCTTCAGTTTACCTTTGTATCTATTCTAAAGATTCTTAAATCGAATCATCTAAGTGGGGAAATTCAAGTGTTGCAGCGGTAAAAAGAGTATGCATATGAGTGCAAACAAAATAAGAATAGATGGGAATACACAAAAAAATACAATGTATGTACAACTATTAACTAGTAAGTAAAGTAAACCATACACCCATTCACTGCCAAACAAAAAACGAGACAGGACATTCAGACATGTTGTGCAGTAAAAGTCAAGTTAAAGTGACCTGTTATGAGATAAGGTGGCAAAATTAAGAAATAAATATAAAAATAAACATCTAGCTAGTAATATGACATGAATACCAGTTTTTAACTTGGTATAGTGTGTATGGAATGAGTCAGAGAGTCGGTGATCGCTGAAAGAGATGCTGTTTGTTGAAAAGGTACTTTTATTAGTTATTTTTTAACAATTGGTCCTAATCTGAGCATTAATTTATCCTGGTTGAGTCCTTATTTCTGTCCTCCTGTATCATTTTGTACTGGCTTGATTATATATAAACTATGCTGTTTCTTTGTTGTGTTTGAAGGCATGGAGGTGGTTGCAGCTCTAACTGACAAAGCCCACTCAGTCTCTGTCATCGGCATGGAGACTGTCCCCTTCAAAAAAGCCCTCGGGGAGAAATTAGGGAAATCAATAATGAAGGTAGAGACACACATATACACACACACACACATACATGCACAATGACCATAAAGCACAACCAGGCCAATACCACAGTTACCACAAAATAGATATTTGCAGGCACAACCATGCAGATGTTTTCTCATGCTTACTGGGTTTGGGTGTGTGGTGTGTGTTTTTGTCTCTGCAGCTGTTTGAGGCAAACAGGGTGAAGTTCTACATGCTGAACGAAGTGTCAGAGATGATTGGTCATCATGGACAGGTATTCAGAAAGTGAGAGAAACAGCATGACATGATGCTCAGAATCACTACAGTCCCTTGTTTTCATGATAAAGATGAGTACAGCTGTCGATCAAAAAGATATTAACTTTTTTAAGATTTTGTCATCTTCAGTGATCCTGAAAAATGGTTTTACAAAAGTACGCAAAGTGATCATTATTAATACCAAACCCAGTGAGATCACGTAGTTTTACACAACTTTGTGAACATATTTTACCATACAGGCGTGTCTATTTAAATTAGTTGGTACTTAAAAGTGTGACTGTATTATTAAATGTGTGTTTCATTACTGCACCACGATAATGTGACTAACAGATGCACATTTTTTATGCCCTAGCTTTTTGAGGCACATATGGCTCATTTACTTCATACTCAGAGTTTAGATAAAGAAAAGTGTTTAGACACTCACATAATAGTGGAAGCTGAAATGTTTACATGTCCTAAAATAAGGTGTGATTTACTATGTTTGATTTTGTGACCTCCATTGTCCAACACAAACGCAGTCACTGAACTCTCTCATGTGTAATGACACAAAGAACTCATACTTAAATATAACTCAAAGAGTAATATCCAATTTACATTAATTTGTTGATGATACCAAATGAAATGTCACAGCAGTAAATGAATAATCATGGATATCCAGTAACTTGTTTGAATGGTGACTTTTTCCTGTGTCTCAGCTGAAAGAGGTGGCGTTGAAGAGTGGAAAAGTCCTGCGGGCAGATGTTTGTGTCATTTGTGCAGGTGATGTGGATTTCGATGAATTCTTGTGTGTGGATCTGTAATGACATGATATCAAAGCAAATGATCCAACTCCCCTTAGCTGTCCTTTGAAATGTTACACTTTCTCTCATGTCTCCTCTCCTGCAGGAAGTGTTCCAGCCACAGGCTTCGTGAAGCAAAGCGGCATCCACATGGACTCTAGGGGCTTCATCACTGTCAACAAGGTAAAAGGTATACATCCTGAAGCCTGAGTGAAAGTATTACCTCCACTGTTTCTTATTAAGTCGTATCAAAATGTCACCAGATGATGCAGACAAATGCTGAAGGGGTGTTTGCTGGAGGAGATGTGGTGATTTTTCCTTTTCCGCCACGGAACAACAAGAAGGTGAACATCCCTCACTGGCAGATGGCCCATGTACACGGTGAGTGTGTTACAGCTCGGTCCTGAATGCATAGCTTAGGCTGTTTTTACTTTACTGTGTTAATGTTAATGTTTAATTGTTACTGATAGGAAGAGTGGCAGCTCTCAGCATGATGGGCAGAGCCGCTGAGATCAAAACTGTGCCTTACTTCTGGTCCGCCATGTTTGGGAAGACCATACGCTATGCAGGTATGAACAGGCCTCCCACATGTCTATGGTGTAAAAGAAATGTTTCGTTGCACATGACATTTCACAGGTTAAATAAGAGAAACATGCAACTGTAGAGAGACATCAGAGGTAAGCTAAACAACACTGCCACCTAGCTGTAAAACTGGAAATAAAGACCAATAGGTCTTGAGATTGAGACAGATGTGAATTTTTTTCATGACAATTCTGCATTTTTTAAAAATCTTTTTGCAAAGGTTATGGTGAGGGATTTGATGATGTCATTATTCAAGGAGATCTGGATGAACTGAGATTTGTGGCGTTTTATACCAGGTATGTTTTTTTGTATTGATCCTCAGTTTATTTTCTCTACACTCTTAATTAAAAATAAAGAAAATGCAAAGTTGATGTCTGTTGGTTTTTTTCCTCAATATATGTTTTGGTTTTAAACAGAGATTTGTTGTCAAGTTCATTCTAGTTTTTCAATGTTCTCCTTCTGGTCCATCCATAGGAGTGAGGAGGTGGTTGCTGTGGCCAGCATGAACTATGATCCCATTGTATCCCGAGTAGCAGAGGTCTTAGGATCGGGAAAGACGATTAAGAAACGAGATGTGGAGTAAGTACGATCTAAATCTGGTCACGGTTACAATAGCTGGTATGTTCTTTAGGTTTTCTCAGGTTCTAATGTGAAGAAAAACATGACAAATGACAACACTTTGACGGAGAACACATGGAGTCATGAAGCTTGTGACTTTAATCACATGGAAAGTATTACACAAGGCTTATTGAGAAACTTCACATCAGAATTTTTCATGAACTCAATATCAGTTGATATTTTTTGTATTTTATACTGTGAAACATCGTTTCATATGTTTAATAATTTCCCAATAATTCCATTCAAAAGACATAATACATTGTTTATAAGACACTGTAATGTAAGCAGATATTACAAATAGTTTGAGCCTCTTGAAGCACACACAACAGGTGTTCAAACAGTTAATGGATCATAAATAAGGATAGCACAGCTACATGGCTTTGATCACAATAACTGATATAAGAGAACATATTTACATGCTAAATTAAATAATGTTTAATAAAGAGAAAGTATTATGTTAACATACTGCTTATGACTGCATCATATTTTTTTCAAAACTGATTCTAGTCTGATAATAAGTTATTCACTTGTTTTTATAGTAAAGATGAAATAACAAATAAAGTCCTTTCTTGGAATTTTTAACAAATGTTCTTCTCTTTTCTTTATCTTTAAAATGTGTTATTGGAACCAAACTGAATGATCTAAATATAAAATCAGAATCAACATGCTGTTATCATGTTGCTCTACTTGTGTTAGTTTATAGCGTACACATTTCTGTCTGTTTTGCTCTGATTTCTCTGGAGTATCGCTCATGTCTCTCGTGTCTTTCGTTTTTTAATAATGCAAACTTAAAATTTCCAGGATGTTAGCACGGCTTGGCAAGTACGTACAAATATGACCTTTCTCTATCGTTCCTTTCACTCATATTCCATGTTTGCAGAATGTTGTCACTGTAATGAACGTGTAGATGTGTGTGTGTGTCTCACTGCTGCTCTCTGGGTTTGCAGGACTGGAGACATTTCCTGGTTGATTGACAAAGGGTCTTAATGACTTTACCTCTGAAGGTCACAAGGACAGACCTAAAGTCCACTTAGATATGGACACTAAGCAGCTATCACTGGTCTGGACACACACACACACACACTCACACTGTCACTGGGGAACAGGACTTCTGGAGACACACTTCCCCAAGGACGACACTGAAACCTGCTTTTGTTCTTTAGAGACACTTTAAGGTGACAGATAGAGCCATACACGGTCTGAATACACTGCATCACTGCGTTGGCAGGTCTTTTATGACATTTAAATACAAGCAATACTGGATTCAAGATGTATCTACCTGTACACTTTGTTAATAAGAAGCCAAGAATGGGCATGGCAATTTCCTTTTATACAAATAACAAATAACATTGTATATAGCTGTAATCCTGAATGCACTGTAACAAGAATAAGAGAATACACTTTTCTAAGCTTCTATAACAGGTTTGGTTAAATGCTCACATACAGGCCTTGGATCTGCATGCAATAATTGACTATGATAAGAGTTTAATCAAATAAGCCCCTTAAAAAGAGAGTTTTGATTCTAGAAATGCATTAGCACACAAATCTGAAACCTGCTAACAACAAACTGCATAATGACTTGAAGCAGAACCGTGAATGCAGCTTTGATTGGCCTACTAACACACACACACACACACACACACACACTAAGCTTTAATTTGTTATACAGTAAATGAGAGTTTCTAGGATTACAACCTTACCTCTTTGTAATGGCTGCCTTTCTCATAGATGGCACAAATTTAAGTATAATTGTGTTTTGATCACATACTAGTGCTTGCTCAATAGATTCATGTTTTTTTTTCTTCCTAACAGATAACCGCTTTAGATGATTCTTATAGGAGCTTCAGGACATTTGGCATAGCTGGAATATTCTTTGTTACTAACTCAGGGAACTGAGCTTTATGGTTTGGGTTTTTTTTCCAACTAGAAATGAGTTTTTTGCTTGAATCTTTTCTCCCCGACACATTCATATTTGTTCACAACTGCTTGTAATGGCTGTAGAGCTGATGATGATTGATTACATCCTGAAATGCTGCTGATGATCCCAAAATGCTTGACAAAGTCTTTTAAAAAAGAGAAGCCTGGGGGTGGCATTTTTTTTTTTTTAAACTAAACTTTGGAATAAAAGTCTTCAAACAATGCTACTAACGTTTTTACGTATTTTATTCTCCACAGACAATAATTTACAAGTCATAGGAAATGTTTAATAAGTTTCAAGGATGTGAAAGAGCACAGCGTGCAGCTTTATAACATGTTTCTTTCTTTGAGGCTTTAATGGCAAAAAAAAAAAGATTTCTAGAAAAGCCAGGTAAGTCAAACTTTCTTATAAGAACAATTTTTGGAAGATGTCGACAGAATATGGTAAGTCACACACAATTGAAAAATAAATGAAGCATCATATAAAATGATTCTCTTTTCTAAGCATCTTACACACACACCACACAAACTGATAGTGTTCAGGCCGTAGAGTTTGTGTACATTATTTGTCTACGCACAAACATTGGAGTGAAGGCAGTGAATAGTGGTGTAGTCTTAAAAGTAGTTTTTCATGTAGGTACTGTAAACATGAGTAGGCTCAGTGAGGACTGGCAGATACATATCAGTGCTGTAAATAGACATTATTGTTCACCAGTTTAAATTCACTGTTGTATTAAGTATTTCAATCACATAATGGACTGTGGTTCATATGACCACTAGTCATTGTTCATATTTAAAAACAACAGTAGATCAGAGAATATTTGGAGGCAGGAGACAGCTTAAAGCTCTTATTTATATAAAACAATGTGATAAAAAGTTTGACTGTAATGCCCGGGAAGTTTTCAGAGCATCAGCTGTTGTAGTATTGCTATATATAGGACCTTCTCTTATATTGCACACACAACATGACCCACTTCAGGACGGTGCGATGAGATTTGAGGAACAAGACGACAACAAGAACAGGCTTCATCCTAGAAGAAACACTTGCTGGCCACAAGTTCCTTTTGGAGATTAAGAAAAAAATCCTTTTGCAAACACTAATGTGTACGTTTGACATAACTGTGCTATAAAAATTCACATTCTGAGTTTTTTGTCAAACGACTACAATCACAGTTTCTCCTGTACTGACGTATAAAAGCCCTTTTGAGATTTTGAATACTGAAACTCTTGAGATGAGAAATGTTGGCAGTGAACTCTGCAGCATTAGAGGTAACACCTGCTAACTGAAAGGATAAACATCACATTATTTGGTGGATGCTCATGTCTTAAAAATTCCACCTGAAACCATAATAAGTAGCAAATGTTACATAATGTGGCATTCAACACACATCTTGAAACAGTCTCCAGTTTACCCAGGGGTCAGAGGTCATATTCGGCTGCGCACTGCTGGAGGTACCATTCATACAGTTTCCCCTGTGGAGGAAAAATTTACTGTGTGAGATGTGTCCAAAATCACAAATGAACAGCTGAGCAACAAATGAGCAACTTCTATATTAAAGGAATGTAACAATACCTTAAAAATCAATAAAAATATGGACAATATAAATCGATTAAACCAAAAATATATTATATAATAACACTGCAAAAGACAGATGAATGACAAAATAGCGCAACTAACATGATGCAGCACAAAGCACAGCGCTATGTTGCGAGCTCGAGACACCAGGAACATATTAATAAAATATGCCGGGAAGCAAATTGGAAACTTCCCTCACCCAAACGAGGGCAAGACATATTGAAATGACTACATGTATTGTTAATGTAATGATTATGTCCGATGATTAACGCATTAGAGCCAGCTGTAATGACCCAAAAAAAGATGTACATTTATATTAGGCGATCAAAAGACGGTTGTTCAGTGTCTTCCAAAAGCTTTCTGTGCTTCAATGTCGGACACACAGACTGTACCGGTGTATTTAAACAGATTCTCATTATGTGTGCTATAGATGTATTTACTGTAAAGGTGTATTTATCTGATTTGGGATTTGTTCTAAAATCTACAAAGACTCTTAAGGCTCAGGTAAGAAAAGATAAAAGAAACATTTGTTAATACGTGCCCAATATTTACAGTCTTTAGGATTGCAAACTGTGCACATGGATAAGCAATCTGTGTACACTTTGCTATTTTTGCAAACTGTGCACTCAGTTAACAAGTCCTACGGGACAGTTTACAAAATCATGCCCACAAATTGCAATCCATTGTCACTGATACTAAGCAGTGCACAGATTTACAACTGGCTTTTTATTTTGTCTTACCTGAGCCTTCAGGAGCTCAGTGAAAGTATTTTGTTTATGTTAAATACATTTTTCCAAAAGGTCTTTCGTAAGACGTTATCATATACATTTTTTATTAGAAAAAAATATGAATTGGTTTGTTAGTAACTATAATAACTATTCTTATTATAGTTACTAACAAACCAATTCATATTTTTTTCTAATAAAAAATGTATATGAATAGTTCAAAAGTATTACATACAAATCAAGAATAAAAAAGTATATATTGTGTTTTTTTCACTGGCAGAGAATTAAATGAAATAACCTCATTTTTTCATAACCTGACATCAATTTAATTTATTTACAAAATTTATAAAATCAGAGAAAATCTGGATTAAATGGTATCGTAAACTCAGTGTCATGATACGTATCATATGGTGAGATCAGTGTAGCGTTACATCCCTAATATTAGACATGGCATAGTAGAATAAAATCTAACCTTCTTTGTTTTGACGATGTCCTGGATATATTCATTGTACTCTGCCATCAACTTCTTCTCCTTCTTCGTCAGAGTCTTATTCCCCCGGCTGAGAATGAAGAGCATCACAAAAATGTTCACTCAGCATTTCAAGAATCATTATCTGTGTATTTGTGAGTGTGTGTCTGTGTGATCTACAGCTTGACACATTTGTCTAAGAGGCAAAGATGTATATCATTTAAGATCAGTATTTAATGTTAAGTAACCTGCTTTAATAAGCTGGTCCTGAACCAAATGGCCATCACAAGTTGTGCTTCAATTTATATATTTGTCATTGATTCACCTGAGGATGATTCCCTCAATTAATCGATGGTTCAGAATTTTAAAAAGAGTTCACATCTCTAATATCCTACAGTTATTTCATTAAATGGCTTATTCATTTGATCAACAGTTTAAAAACATATTCAGTGAACTTGGGGGGGTGGGGGGACAGATCATCTTCACAACCAACAAGCAAAGCAAATCTATGTTTGGTGTTTCAATAACACAGTTTTGTGTCTGTTTGTACTTTAACACTCACCCTGCAAAGTACTTTGCTAGGAACAGCAGAAGGTAGCAAAAAGCTCCAAAGATGAGGACAAACACAACTTGTCCATCTTCTGGTATCCAGTCCCATAAAAACATCACTATTCCCTGAGAGATACATGTTGAATAGACACACAGAGACCCTGGTTCACAATGAAATGAAATGACAATCTACTGTGATGTTATCTGTAAGGTGTAAAAAAAAATATATTGCCAGTGTGACTCACTGTGAAGATGGAAACCGTCTGAGCCGGCCCTTCACCAAGCAGCTCATCCAGCTGCTCTTTGGAGATGGTGTTCACAATGAAGCTGAGGATGAAGAGGGTAGGGAGGACAATACCCAGTGCCCCACAGAGGAACGAGTGAAGACGGACGCTTTTGTTGTGCGTCGCGTCAGCCCTGCATGCGCACAAAAGAAATCTGGTTTTAATATCACATTTTCTGCAGAGAGTAATATCTGTCGACTCTTATCTCCGGCTTTGCAGGAGGCATCTTGCATCAGGGTTAATTAGCTTTAGTTGTAGCCTGAACACAGTGAAACACGGCGTGCTGTATGTCGAGAGTCAAACCTGTCTTTCTCAATTCTGCTGCTGATCGTGGAACAGATAAGGTCACAGTCTTTCTCCAGCTGATCCAAAGTCTTCTGAACAGCCTGGTTTATGGTCTTCTCGATGGTCTGACACACTCCATCGATCTGGTTCACACAGCGGCTCGGCTGGAAAACACAGGAAAAAGTGCATGATTTATTTATTTTTTACTTGATTTTTTTATAAAGGAAACATTCAATATATAATCACAAAACCATATTAAACCTTCAAATACCAGGGCAGAGACCGTCAGTGTACTTTTATTTTATGGTGTATCTTTGTGTTGAGATCCTTCTGGTTTTCTGGACTAAAGGATAAAGTTTGGTCACAACGCCAAAGGGTTTAAACTTGATCAAAGAAAAACACTGGTGTCTTTCATTCTGAATCCAAACCCATCATACTGTTTGTACTGATATTGTTGAGCAAGAAAACAGTTTTCTACAACATGAAGGAGAGTTTC